TCCCCAGCCCTTTTTTTGTATTTTATTTAGAGACAGGGTCCCACTGAGTTGCTTAGCAAGCCTCCATTTTGCTGAGGCTGGTTTTGAACTCATGACCCTCCTGGGTCAACCTCTCCAGCTGCTGGGATTACAGGTGTGCACCACTGCGCCTGGCTAGGCTGTCACTCCAGTTCCCCTCTTGGAGCCATAGCTGTTATCCCACATTGCCAGGCCAATAGTTATATGGCGCATCCATGACTAGAAGTAGGGTTCCAGGCTGGGCATGGTGTGGTGGCACACACCTGTAATCCCAACAGCTTGAGTGACTGAGCCAGGAGGATTGAGAGTTCAAAGCCAGCCTCAGCAATTTAGCCAGGCCCTAAGCAACTTAGTGAGACCTCATCTCTAAATAAAATATATAAAAAGGGCTGGAGATGTGGCTCAGTGGTTAAGTGCCCCTAGGTTCAATCCCCAGTACAAAGAGAGAGAAAGGAGTAGGATTCTCTTTTGTTATCTACCCTGTGATAATTGTTTTGCACAATCTTGGGAGTTGTGACTTTTCCTATATGTAATAAAAAAACCAACAACTAATCATGCCTTTTCACCATAAATTATTGAAGTTGTCACTTTGCTTCTTATATCTCAACCTCCCCTCTCTTGGTCTATCTAGCCCATTTAGGTCCAAAGTTCAAGTTTACTTCAAAACTCATGAAGTTTAAACTAAAGCATGCCTCACCTGCTTGACTCTTTCCATGGCTCTGGTTAATGAGTGCCATCAACTTAAACAGTCCTTAGGGTAAGCCACAGCACACAACACTTAAATGGCTAGAAATCTTATAGCTCTTATACAAAAGAAATTTAATAGAGGTACTGACATTATCAAAAGTAAAGTGTAGCTCGGGGCAGTAGCACACACCTGGAATCCCAGTGACTAGGGAGGCTGAGGCAGGAGAATTGCAAGTTTAAAGCCAACCTCACTTAGGGAGGTCCGAGGAAACTTAGAGAGACCCTGTCTCAAAATTGTAAAAAATAAAATGGGGGTTGGGGATATAGCTCAGTTGCTAGAGTGCTTGCCTTGCACACACAAGGCCTTGGGTTCAATCCCCAGCACCACAAAAAATAAAATAAAATAAAATGGGCCATGGGTGTGGCTCAATGTTATCACCCTTGGGTTCAATCCCCAGTACCAAAAAAAAAAAAAAAGAAAGAAAAAAGTTTTAGCCAAGTGCAGGGCAGCATGCCTGTAATCCCAGGCATGGGAGTTTGAGGAGGAGGAGCACAAGTTTGAGGCCAGCCCCAGCAACTAAGCAAGACCTGTCTCAAAAATAAAAAGAGCTAGGGATATGGCTCCGTGGTAGAGCACTTGCCTAGCCTGTATGAGGCCTTGGGTTAAATTCCCAGCCCTGCAAAAATAAATAAATAAAGCTGGTGTTTACTTATCTAATTATTTACTTATCTAGTGAAATTAAATAACTTTTGGATATACATAATCAACGTATAATCATTTGGATACTGCATTGATTTTTCTGCTTTCAAAAAAAGCAGAAAATGATGTGGCTCAGTGGTTGAACACCTCTAGGTTCGATCCCCAGCATGAAAATAAAATAAAATAAAGAAAATGTTACAAAATCATTATCATATGAGAGGTGATCAAAGGGTACCAGCTAAGAAAAAAGTAGGAAACAAAAAGCATTACAGGAGCCTGGGGTTGTGGCTCAGTGGCAGTGTACTCGCCTAGCAGGTGTGAGGCACTGGGTT